TCTAATGCTGGCTGGCGCACCCACAAGCTTCCTTGGCTTCAGACATTTTATATCTGTGTGGTTATGTTCTTCCGAAGAGTAATATTCGAAATCAAAGAGAGGAGGGGTTTTTTGGTTGTTTTTTTAATATTGTTTCTTCATTTTTGGAGTTTTTCTTTCATAATACACTGTTCTGAATGATTGGATTGTATGTTGCGTTATGCCTTTGCTAATTTCAGATTCCAAAATGGTGATTTTCTTCCAGGAGTTTGTCATTCTCGTTTTTTGTGGCTTATTTGGAGGTAATGGTCTGGCTGTTGGCGTATTGTGTTGGAACTGGTATCCACATATCCCAGAAACTCTCGCAACCTTTTGGGTTTACTGGAATCGGTCTGGTTATTCCCTCCTTGTATATTATCTTTAATGCTTCTTTCATAACTTGTTTTTTTTTGGTTTTTATAATTTTTCTCTCCTTTTGTGTGATATTTATTATGGTAGGTTTAAATTGGTCGGGCATTGTATCGGATTATGCCGCGAGCCGGGCACAATGGCGTTGCTGTCTGATGGGAGGTGTTGTGTGTCCTCCTAAATGAGCCTTTTCCGGTTGCCTCCATTTTTCTCAGCTCTGTTTCTGATTGTTTTGCATCTTGTATCAAAACCATGGTTGTTGGTCAGTATTTTGCCCCTTTTGTTAACAGTGTCTTCCGTCTTTGGCGGTATATGGAGGGTGTCTCATGCCCATATAGGCTGCCTTATGATTATATTTTATTCATATTTTATTAGTCCTCAATATGGCCTTGTTTTACCCCATTTCTCTCCTGGTAGGGACATATTGCTCTTGGGTTGCATGATATAAGTATGTATGTAATGTACATCAGGGCATCCAGGGGAGTTCAAAGCTGTGACTTGAATTTGTCTCCTGACTGTTGCATATGGGCCCATTCTGTAAGAGGTGTGAAGAGGGAAGGGATTTTAATATATAGCAGCTTACTGGGTGTCCCTTTTTTGATGCTTCAAACGACAGATATTGAATTCGTGATCATAAAATATAATAAGAACACGATAATTTGGTTGGTCTCTCTCTCTCCTCTCTCTCTCTCTCTATCATCTATCTATCTATCTCTCTTGTTTGATCCTTGTATGACGTACTGCTTAGGAGAACTGAGCTGACCCACATTTGCGGAATAAATGCCACAATTAGACGCATGATACACGCAGCATGCTGCCACTGGAGTCATCAGCATTTACGGTTTCATTTATAAGTTGATGTGGAGGCCAGAAAGTCCATGAGCAGATGACATTGAGGACGAGGAGAAAGAGAGCCAGATATATGACCCCTCAAGTTTTGCTTGTACAGTAGTGTCACCCCAAATGAGGTCTAACACCGTCCCTCGACTGACTACCTCCATAACAGCTGAGTGACTCCCATCAGCAAATAATTGTGACAAATGTTGAGCTAGATTGGCGTAAAAATCTCATGAATTCTAATATGACTGCTCACACTAAGGTCACACCGGTATCTGATTTGGACCACATATGAAAGTGATTTGTGTTGTTCACACTTTCATTAAAAAAGACAAACAGATCTGAGTAACATTTGATTTGGGCCACTGTTGCCTGCTACTTACATTTACTAAGCTGTACTACAGTATGCTATAGGCACATAATGGGCCTCATGCAAGAACAGTTTTATCTTCTTATCTTAACTTTCTCTGCTCAAGGTCGTACTGTTGCTTGGTTTAATATGAGAAGCAAGGCAAATGATGACTGCAACAGGAGGGGGTCAAGAGGAAGTCTCCATCATGGAGACAGACGAAAGAATACGTGCCATAGTGATCTTAGCTTGTCAGGCATTACAACAAAAGATGTTCCCCTGGACAGCGACCTGTGTACACCTTAATGTGAAGAGAAACCTAACCCCATCAATAGTTCATTAAAATTAATGATATAGTAACGTAATTATGAAGTGTAATTTACGAAGGAAAAAAATTGCTTGATACTAATGCAATATACAATCCTGAAAAATTTATGTTTTTTCAGGATTTCAGGAACAGCAGACTAATTACACAACTTCTCTTAAATCAGTTGTACAAGCCACCTAAGAACAAATCTGTTCATACTAGTGGTTCTTGCATGGTCCCACTAAACTTTTCTTTCCACTACATTTATCTGACAGGTATTAGATTTTACATACAAAACATAGACTTAGTTGCCAGTTTATTTGGTCCACAGAATGTAGTCCTGCAAAAAATCCTATATTCATGAAGGTTATAATGATACTTCCTGTTGAAACAGAGAGGTCTATTCTTATTGCTAAATGTGTGCACTCACACATCCAAAAAAACGTCTACTCTAGGTGCTTTTGTCATTTAAATACTTTTGGATAAGTAACATATTATTTTCTAAAGTAATGTGCAGTGAGTTTATCAGAGCTTGCGTCTGGAAATGGTAATAATGCAGCAGTGAGATGTTTGTGGGCCGTAAAACCAAAACAATGAACCAAAAGAGGCTAAAATGCTCTGTGGAGCTGAGGAGAATTGCAGATGAAGATGATAAATCTCTGGATTCTTCATCATGAGCAACTTCATTTCACATGAGCCACTGATAAAAAAGGCTTGATTATTGATTTCTTTAATGCAGTACATTTAATATTTTTGCAATGTGCTATTGCTACTTACACTTAAACTTAAATTGTTCTCGGAATTATCCAGTGACAGGTACACTGTGTCCAGAGAGAAATTGTTTAACAAATCGATGCCACAAAAGAAATTCCATTCACCTCTTTTGTGTTCTTAGAAATCTCAAAATGGATCCATGTACCCATAAATCAAAAGTATCTGCATAGATACAAGGAGTAAATGAGAAACTATAGACTGACCCTCTACCATGGACACTGTATGTCCACTAGATGGCAGCAACACACAAACCTTTGAGGCAGTAGAAGACAGAAAATCTCCTTGGATGTGTCACGTTTGAAAACGAAAGCATTTTAAAAAACAGAACAGTAATGTTCTGACTGTTTATCAGTTGGAATTGAAATAAGGCCAAGCATTTATGTTGGTGGAACTGGTCCAGGCCATATTTCACTGGGAAGGAACATGGCTCTTTTTTTTTTTGCCTCAAGCATGCACATTAATTACCATTATTTAGGTTCAAGTTGTTTATTGTCATATGCATGACAGTGAAGGAGTCACTGGCAAAGAAATTCTCAGGCTACCTCCAATAGCTGATCCTGTTTACCTTGCTGCACCATTGGGTGTAGAGGTCCTCCACGGATGATTCTGTGATGTGCTGAGCAGATTTCACCACCTTCTGTGAAGCCTTACAGTTGAGGGCAGTGCAACTTCCAAACCAGGTGTTGTGTGTTTGTTTAACTACTGTAGAATTAGAAGCAGGACAAATGACTTGTCTTCATCATCAAACATAATCTAGGTCTTTAGTCCTGTAGTGTATGTGGTTTTGGAAGTATAACCATCACATGCAATTGCTTAAATTGTCTACCCAAAAAAATAACTTTGATGTTATTGGTTGATCAATCTTGAATTAATGATACTCAAAAATATTTCCTTGACACTTATTGTCTGTGCTGTTTTTCTGCATGGATTTAATGGTTGGAACAGTTGCATCAGTGAGTGCTCCAGCTTCTTTTGAGAGCTGTTGTCTGTCAGCATCATTAACAAACCACATTCTGGACGACTGGTTTGGTTTCATTTTTCATTTTTGGAAAAGCATCTGAAGCAAAGAAACACAAACATGTTCGGTGAGCAACGAATTTTCCCAGAAATACATTAAAAGCAAGTTTGCAGATGATTAAATGATTGCAAGTCGAGCTTTATGAAATGCATTTATCTCTCCAGATCAAAATAAATGTGCTGAAGCTACTCCCTTGTTGACATGTAAAACAAGACAGCAGCTGTCAGTACAACGCAAACACAGTAGGGCACGCGTCCCTGATTCATTTATGGAAATTAGGTGAGGACCGTGACGGTGCAAATAACTCCAAATCTACCCCCTTCTCCACACACACTTTGTTCTTTATCTCCTGCAGGGTTTCACCCCACTTTGACCCCCAGCTGCACTCTCCCGTCCCATTAGAATTGGAGATGTTTTTGTCTCTCCTGAGGAAACGTTTGCCATCCGTCATCTCTCTTCTCCCCTTTGTTCAGCTCTCGCCCTTTTGTCCCTTTTTATAACAATAAAGTAGCAGAAATGAGGATTGAGGGAGAGAGTCGGCCCTTCGATTGTCAGCTTGGAGACAATCTGGCACATCAACCAAACGGAGCGCTCGCGGAAAGCGATACGCCTCTTTAAAACAGCCCTAACGGCACATCTCTCTCTCAGCCTACTCGAACATGTTTCCCATCTGATATCCTGACAAAAGACAGATTCAGCCCACCACTTGCTGACAGTGACACTGATGCCTCTTTGGTGTTGATGGGCAAAAAAGTGTCAGGAAGAGTGCTTTGTCATCCTCATCATTTCCATTTGACAAGATGAATGCTTCGTCACATCGTTTAAATTAATTCAATTCAGTTTACCCTGCAGGGAACTGATTTTGAGGGTAACTCGTTTTTTGTGATTTCACTCTGCTTTGCAAGTTTTTGCTCTCTCAAGTTACCCTTTCTTCTCTTCATATACAGCATTCATAACACTGCTATGGCTTACTCAGCTGAGGGGAAACCGCAGGGCAGAGACAGCTCTGAGTGTCTGCTTGTCAGTCACGAGAATGCATCTGCAACTAACCCTTAATTCCTCTAACATGCTGAATGTAGGTCACGGAAAGCAAAAAAACCCAGTCTGATGGTGTGTGGCCTCAGATCTTTCTGTCACTGCTTGGCCTTGTGCTCTGTGTGTGTAAAAGTCTCAGACTCGTGCCTGGCTCTATCTGTTACTGCCTAACCGAAA